ATGGTGATGTCAAATGACCTCATATTTGGCAGATGGTGATGTCAAATGACCTCATATTTGGCAGATGGTGATGTCAAATGACGTCATATTTGGCAGGAAGTGATGTCCAATGACATCATATATGGCAGGAAGTGATGTCAAATGACCTCACATTTGCCAGGAACTGATGTCCAATGACATCATATATGGCAGGAAGTGATGTCAAATGACCTCATATTTGGCAGATGGTGATGTCAAATGATCTCATATTTGGCAGATGGTGATGTCAAATGACCTCATATTTGGCAGGAAGTGATGTCCAATGACATCATATATGGCAGGAAGTGATGTCAAATGACCTCATATTTGCCAGGAACTGATGTCCAATGACATCATATATGGCGGGAAGTGATGTCAAATGACCTCATATTTGGCAGATGGTGATGTCAAATGACCTCATATATGGCAGGAAGTACCGGTAATGTCAAATGATTTTGCATATTTCTATTTACTCACATCGGCAGGTGACATAGGCCTCTTCTGTGTGACACTGTGTGCTGGTGAAGCTACTTCACTCTCTATATATAACAAATAAAGAAACATATACTATTAGTGAGAAAGATGAAATAACAATATGACTTATAATATTGAAACTATTATAAAGCATTGAGGTCATTTCCCTACTGTAGTGCTAGGTAGCTTATTCAGTAATCTTAACACTGTTCAGATGTATGAGTAAACTGCTGTTGTTCTACAATACTTCCTTATAACACAATAAATTGTTTACAAGTGCTTCTATTTTAGATGAGCATAATAGAGAAAACACAGTAGTCAATAAGCTTATTGTTAGACCTCTCCGAAAAATCAACTTTCCCATTTGGACTCATTATGATCTTTTCAATTATGATCATTTCAATAATGAGCCAAATGTCAGTTTTGGTGAAAAAAAAACAGAAAAATAACATTACACAATTTGAGAGTGATGAATGTATGAACTAGAGAATAAGGTATGAGTAGGATTATATGTGTTCAAATATGCATGTAGGGATATCACCATAGAAACTGTAAGATATAGTTTCAATCTGATTAAAATCTAATGAGGACAGAAGCTGTGATCGATTTCAATTCCATTTGCTGGTGTACATTTACTTCACCTGGTGAATTAATAGGTAATTCACCAACCAATTACAGCACATCTTACTAGAGAGTGGTCTGTAACAGAAGTTTTGATTAGTTGCTGATAATATGACACTTGAATTCAATTTGCATAGTTAATTGGGTCAGATGTGGTTAGAGGCAATGTATATTGATACAATGTAACTGTATGAGTGACTAGAGGCATCCACATGTAATCAGATTATAGTTATATTTAATTCATACCTGCAGCTTCTGTGAGGTTTGCTCTCAGAGATTTTATTGTTTCTTTAGCTTTGCGTAACTCAAACTCTAATACTGCCACTCTTTCATCTGTCTGACCTGCCCCATCATCAGAGTACCTAGCAAAGTCTAAAGAATCAAAAGTCTGCTCACTTGAAGTGCGATCTTAAATAGAGAAAAAAAAAATTGTTATTCAGTATTTCAAATCATTTAGATGCTGAGAACATTTATGAGAATAATGAAAAGATAGAACACCAATGCTTTCTAGTGTATGTGTCTAAACGACTGTCAAAAAATGCTTTGGTGTGATTTTTGTTGTTGAATTGTTTAATACAGTGTATTAAGATTACTGAATACTGTAAATGCATTATTTATTTTTGCTATTTTCATTGATAAGAACAATTCCCTGAATTAAATCCATGTGAACATATAAAATAACAGTAGACCTTTTTGTTTATCTGCCACGTTTATAAATTTAAAACCCAGTAAAATAGAAACATCATATTATTGCAAATTAAATGCAAGAGACAATCAATGGCTACAGTACCACAAAAAGATTTGAATTATACAGAATGGTTACATTGTATCATTTATCTAATAATGATTTTTAATACATGCATTAAATGTAGATATGGATGGACAAAGCATTCTGTGAAACAGAAAACATTCCCTCATTTACCGGTATTCAAATGTGGAGCACACAACCGATGCGAGGAACAGGTTAAACTGATTGTGAGCGATATCGAGAAAAATAACCCTTCTTTGTTGGCCTAACATGAGCATTACCAGAAACATGAATATTTTTCTGGTTCTTACAAGTATGCTGCCATAATTAGAAAGTAATAGACCATCAACCAAACAATGTATGCATTAAACAACTACAGTAGAACACATATGGCTAGTCAGCCAATTACTGGTACTGGTATACAGATAACAGTCAACAAAACAGAATTTTTAATTTGCCATTATAGGGTAATACAGCACTAAAGGTTTTTGGAACTAAGCCTAGCTAGCAATTGTTTTTCTCAGCTCATTGACAGCACATATACAGCGAGCAATCTCATTTATACATGTGTAATGTAGGAAGGGTGATTTGTAGCATTATTGAAAGCTGAAACAAATAACAAAACATAATTAGTAACATTTGTTAAATTGTCATTAGTATCCCAGACAACATAATGACATTAAGCAATCTGATCTAATGATCCTTTCTGATTAGACTGAGAGGTCATAGACACATCCATCAAGAACTTATAATGGCCCACGCCTAGGAAGTGCAAAGGTTGACTGTACCATTACAACCATAGTATGACATACATGATAAACCTGTTACATCCCTTGTACTACTTTGAACCATGACTGAGACACATGTCTGCCTCATTCAAGGTGAGATTAGATAAGTGGTCAGCAAAATTTTGTACACCTAATCAGATAAGTAATCCTTGTCATAATTTTATCTAAAAAGGGATGAAGGGTTGGCCATTTGAAATGGAGGGAGTGGCAGTTGAAATATTTTCTGAAACCAGATATTTGTGTTTAATGTCTAAATTTATTATAAAGAAGCTAACTCTTCAAGACACACCCCTCATTTACATAAATTTTTATGCTAATAATAGAGCAAATAAAGTACTTATATAAACAGGTATCATATGAAATCCACATTAATGATTTCAAATTAATTGAAAAATGTGTTTATTATGTTATAAAAAATTTACAAAATATTATAATAAAAGAAATTTGCAGAAATATATGAAATTGAAATTTACTTTCATAGTGTAAAACGTCATTGATATACCTCCACTTTTTTGAGTTGGAATTTACAAATGCCATAAAGAGACATCCAAAATGATATCACTAATAGAGTTGTCAGCAGGTTATTGAAAAATACATGCAATATTGTAGTTGGCAAAGAGAAATATTATTAAAATGAGACTATAGTAAAAGTAGTACCGGTAGGCAACACAGTAGCTGGTTAGTTTTACAAGCTGCTGACATCTAATGACAATACTATTCAAAACTACTATGCTCCATGTGACATTACTCATTACACCATACTAAGAGTATGCAATCAACACCGGTCACCTAGCCATGAGGGCAACAGCATGTGTCTCTTTTAGTCAGGGAGTGTAGGCCATTCCATGTCATGCGATCATATCACATTATAAAATATGTTGTATAGATGTGCCATGTTAAAATGTACACCTATTGACTGGCCATGCTAAAAATCATATGACTATTTCTATAAGGAGTGAGACCATTGGCTAAGGCTGAACACACACGTGAAGATAGATGCATGCTGTTACCAGCATAAGACCAGTTGACAGAAGTAATACCACATGTATTGGTCAATTACATTACAGAATCTGGGTGTCATGAGTTCAAGGGAATTTCTATTTTCAACTACTGAGCATGTTACTTCGCAAATATATAATACTAGTAAATTATGGGAGAAAAATTTCCATTGTATTTAAGGTAGAGGATGCAGGTTCGTGGGCACTTGGGAGTAAAAA